GGGATATTAATAACAAGGCTGTGACTGAAATGCTAAATTATCCTTTTTTTTTTTTAATCTTTATTTTATTCTATGTCCTTAGAAAGAGAGAGCGTGTGAGAGTGCCAGTGGGGGAGGGGGGCAGAGGGAGAGAGAATCTTAAGCAGTTTCCACGCTCAGCACGAAGCCCGATGTGGGGCTCGATCTCACGACCCTGAAATCATGACCTGAGCAGAAATCGAGAGTTTTGGTTGCGGTGGACTGTACATCACCACTCCCTTCAGTTTGAGATACAGGTGTCCCCCACTAGCTGGAAGTACAGTGTTCCCATGAAACCTTTCATAAGCGGAAATGCTGTCCAGAGAAGAAGCAATTATTTGTAGTTTCTATGGGAACAACTTTGCGGTGTTCCCAGACCTTAAAGATAACCGCTGTTGGGCTTTTCGGATACCTGAGGACACATCTTGCTGGCGGATGCACAGAATAAATGGAGATAAGGCCCAGATGCTCACAGACGCAGGTCAGAGCTCTGGCGGTGTGATGCTGAGATGCTGAGGGTAGCTCCGGAGAACGGGGTCCAGTGTGCACTACCTCTGGGGTGACTCCCTAGAAAACCAATGAAAACAACAGTGAATGCTGTTGTCGCTTTTGGCTTGTTTTGGTAAAAGCAAACTCCTCTTCGGATTTCTTTCCGTTAGCGAAAACCCCGACTAATGTAGGTTTTACGCAAAAGCAAGGTGGCTTACCGAAAACTTCCAGAAAGCGGGGGGATCCCTTTCTCTCTAACGCGGACCATAAGGAGCTTAGAAGAAAAGACACTTCTTGCAGGCACTTGAAGAAGCGGGGGTTGATCAGCGGAAGGCAGGATGAGGGCTTCTGAAGACGAAGACGAAACGCAGGAGGTCAAGAGTGTCTGCTCAGATCATGATCCCAAGGTTGTGGGATGGAGCCCTGCACTGTGAGGGTGGAGCCCACTTAAGATTCTCTCTCTCCCTTTGTCCCTCTCCTCTCGCGCGCGCGCACACACACACACACACACACACACACACTCTCTCTCTCTCTCTCTCTCTCTAATAAAAATAAACTAATAATTTGAAAAGAGGTACTCAGGGGCGCCTGGGTGGCTCAGTCGGTTGAGCATCCGACTTCAGCTCGGGTCATGATCTCACACTCCATGAGTTCGAGCCCCACATCAGGCTCTGTGCTGACAGCTCAGAGCCTGGAGCCTGCTTCAGATTCTGTGTCTCCCTCTCTCTCTGCCCCTCCCCTGCTCATGCTCTGTCTCTCTCTGTCTCAAAAATAAATAAAAACATTAAAAAAAATTTTTTTAAAGAAAAGAGGTACTCAGTGGGGAAAGGATAGTCTCCAATAAACATGCTGGGAAAGCTGGATATTCACAAACAAAAGAATCAAATTGGACCCCCATGGCACACCACTCACAAAAAATTAACCAGAAATGGATTAAAGACTTAAATGTAAGACCCCAAATTACTAGAAGAAAACATAAGAAAATGCTTCCTTGACATTGGTCTTGGCAATGATTTTTTGGATATGACACCAACAAGTGACACAAAGCAAAAAGAAACGTGTGAGACCCTGTACCAGACTAAAAAGCTTCTTCACAGGAAAAGAAACAATCGGCAAAATGAAAAGGCAACCAGCAGAATGGGAGAAAATACTTGGAAACCGTGTGTCTGATAAGGGGTTAATATGAAAAATGTGTAAAGAACTCATACAATCCGAGCAAAAAAACAATCGGATGGAAAAAAAAATAGGCAAAGGACTTGATTAAACCTTTTCCAAAAGAAGACATACAAATGGCCAACAGGTACACGAAAGCAAAAAGCTAAAAATGCAATAAAACCAAAGGAGTAAATATTGATAGACATATGGAAATACAACTTTAGTTGGAAACCTGTCAGGAACTGAGGTAGATTTCCCTGTGTTTGTTTCCTTATACACACACATATGTAACCTTTCTCCACCTCCTAATAGCTACTTACTCTTAGTTGCTGTTTCCTGGTGGCTTTGGTTTGCCAGGACCCCTTGTATGTATCAGGGTGCAGTTAGGAAAGAGATCAAGGGATTCTTGTCAAAGGAGAGGCCAGGTTAAGGGAAACCCAGGAGGGCTGGAGAAGTATCCTGAGCTAGCAGCCACGGGAAGCCCAGTCACCCCTAAACCTACATGTTGAGGCAGGAAACAGCAGGGAACCTGCAGAGAGGGCTGGGCTGTAGGAGAGGCTGCCTGGAGAGGCTGAGAGCTTTGGAGAAGAATAAACCACTGTCAACCACACCCCGGTAAAAGGGAGCCAGAGCAAGAAAGACCGTCCATCCCTCCCCTCATACCAGAGGCCAAGGGAGCCCAGTCTCCCAGGCAGAGGTAGGGGAGAGAGTGGCCAGGAACTCTAGAGATGCAATGGTAGAATATCCACCATACCCTTGAGGCCTTAAGGCTTCTTTCTGTATATTCTTTCGTTACATCCCTCTGGGCAGTTGCTTTAGTGACCCACTATTTGTTAGGTCACATTTCCCGCTGAGCGAGTGAGAGCATTTCAGCTCTGCCATCAGTGGCCAGGCTCTGGATTAGCTGCCCTTGGGTCATCTACCCAGTCCAATCAGCTATATAAGCACACCTCGAAGCTATTGCAGGTTAGGTTTCAGACCGCTGCAATAAAGTGAATATCGAAGCAAAGTGAGTCAAATGACTTTTTTGGTTTCCTGGCATATTATAATTTCCTGTAAGCATATTAAAGTTATGCTTACACTAAACTGTAATCTCTTAAGTATGCAACAGTATTATACCTGAAAAAACTATGTACATGCCTTAATTTAGCATAATTTAATTTATTGCTTTTATAAAAAATGCTAGCCATAATCTGAGCTTTCAGTAATTTACAATCTTTTTGCTGGTGGAGGGTCTCGTCTCCATGTTGATGGCTGCTGGCTGATCAGGATGGTGGTTGCTGAAGGTTGGGGTGGCTGTGGCAATGTCTTTTTTTTTCCTCCTCTTGTCCCCCACCACTGCCATGCTGGCCACTGTAGCAATTTCTTTTTTTTTTTTTTTTTCAACATTTATATTTATTTTTGGGACAGAGAGAGACAGAGCATGAACGGGGGAGGGGCAGAGAGAGAGGGAGACACAGAATCGGAAACAGGCTCCAGGCTCTGAGCCATCAGCCCAGAGCCTGACGCCGGGCTCGAACTCACGGACCGCGAGATCGTGACCTGGCTGAAGTCGGACGCTTAACCGACTGCGCCACCCAGGCGCCCCTGTAGCAATTTCTTAAAATAAGACAAAGATGAAGTTTGCCACATTGATGGACTCTCTCACGAACAATTTCTCTGGAGCATGTGATGCTTTTTGGTAGCAGTTTACCCACAGTAGAACTTCTTTCAAAATTGGAGTCAATCGTCTCAAACCCTGCCTCTGGTGTATCTACTAAGTTCATATAATATTCCCAATCTTTAGTTGGCATTTCAAAAATCCCCACTGTGTCTTCACCAGGAGTAGATTCCATCTCAAGAAATCACTTTCTTTGCTCATCCGCAAGAAGCAACTCCTCACCCATTAAAGTTTTATCATGAGATTGCAGCAGTTCAAACACAGTAATAATGAAAACGTTGGAAATGTTGCAAGAATTACCAAAATGTGACACAGAGACACAAAGTGAGCAAATGCTGTTGGAAAAATGGTGCTGATAGACTCGTCCCACACAGGGTTGCCCCGCACCTTTGATTTGCAAACAAACAAAACGGCAGTGATCTGCAAAGTGCAGTAAAGTAAAGGGAAGTGCCATAAAACAAGGCATGCCTGTATTGGAAATGGTGAGGAGTGAGGGAACGGGAAACGTACTATAAGCATCCTCGCTCTGGGTAGAGCCACGTCACTTGTTGGCAGGTATACGACAGATTCAGGTGCACCCACAGGTATTACCTATAAATGAAGCAATACCCAATTGTAACATTGTAATTGGTTTCCCTCAGGGCTGTGGGTGATCGAATGCCGTCTGGGATCCAGGCGTGGTGAAAATCACTTTATGGGTATTCTCCCAATCTTTGCAGCTCCTCTGTAGGGGCCTGATTATTACTCCTATGTTACAGATGAGGAGGTCCTATCAGCCGAGGTCAAGCAGAGGTTAACCTGCCAGAGGGTGCCAGAAAGTAGCAGAGGCAGGCTTTACCCGGCCCAGGCAATCTGACTCCATTCCTGAGCTACCGAACACCGTTCTGACCACACCTATGAGAAATGAAATAAAACTGAATGTTGTCTTTGAAAAGAGCTTATCTTCAGGGAGAGTTTCCTCCTTCCCATCGGCAGTTCCAAAAGTAATCCTCGGCAGCACTACAGTTATCTAAGATATTAGCATTAGGGGAAAGCGGGTGAAGGGCATCTGAGAGCTCCCTGGATTTTTTTCTAACAACTATATGTGAATCTACATTTCTCTCATAATAAAGTTAAACAAATATCATAGTAGCAGCATCAACTACCATTTATTCGTTAATTTCAATTCGACATTGGGCATCTTCTCTGTGCCAGGCACCGTTCTTTCTCTGCTGGGAATATAGCGGAGAACAACACACACACACACACACACACACACACACACACACACACACACACCCCTGCCCTCATGAAGCTGGCCTGTGCAAAGCTCATTTGGCCAGGTTCCTTATCATAAAAGTTATTAAATGCATGCTCATCACAGAAATATTGGCTAACGCTGGATTCACGTCCTTATCCCCATAAAGTAGGTCTGATTAGATTTCCCTAGGCTACTTGACAAGACTCATAATATTTGTGAATACCAAGCCTTGTCCTGAATGGCAAATCAACGAGCCGCTCTTTCTCTCCATTCTGTTTAGAATACTTGTAAAATCTAAACACTGCTCTATTCAAAACGTGCTTGGAAAGTCTCACTCCCTTCTCTCCCCTGCTCGTCTTTGCTCTAGGCTACAGAGAGCATCCAAGTAGGAGGCTGCAGACACAGTCGGCTGTCATGCAGATGATGAGGCTGTGATTGATGAATTGCAAATCCTGCCTAGTGCTCCCAAAGAAAACGGCTCTCTCTACCATTCCAGTATCCTCCAGATCCAAGACATGCAACCCGCAGACAGGAAATGGCAGCCACCAAAGCGCTGAGGGGAGCCCTTCCAGTCGTTTCTGTCCCGGCTCCAAGTTTTTTCCCATGATGGCCTGCAACAGCTCCACCGTCGAGACCTACCAGTACTTGCTGCTGAACGGGAGCAATGTGTCCGACTCCGGGGCCACCCCACCACCCGCCCCCCTCAGGATATCCTTGGCAATAATCATGATGCTGATGATCGTGGTGGGGTTCCTGGGCAATGCTGTCGTCTGCATCATCGTGTATCAGAGGCCAGCCATGCGCTCCGCCATCAACCTGCTGCTGGCCACGCTGGCCTTCTCCGACATCATGCTGTCCTTATGCTGCATGCCCTTCACGGCCGTCACCCTGATCACGGTCCACTGGCACTTTGGGGATTACTTCTGCCGGCTCTCCGCCACCCTTTACTGGTTTTTTGTCCTGGAGGGCGTGGCCATCCTGCTCATCATCAGCGTGGATCGCTTTCTCATCATCGTCCAACGCCAGGACAGGCTGAACCCGCGGCGGGCCAAGAGGATCATCGCCGTCTCCTGGGCGCTGTCGTTCTGCATCTCGGCCCCCTCGCTGGCAGGCCGGACGTTCGTGGAGGTGCCGGCGCGGGCTCCCCAGTGCGTGCTGGGCTACACGGAGTTCGCGGTGGAGCGCGCCTACGTGGTGGCGCTGGTGGTGGCCGTGTTCTTCGTGCCCTTCGGCGTCATGCTGTGCTCCTACCTGTGCATCCTGCACACCGTGCGCAAGAACGCCATCCGCGTGCACAACCAGTCCGACAGCCTGGACCTCAGACAGCTCACCAGGGCCGGCCTGCGGCGGCGGCAGCGGCAACAGCAGGTCAGCTTGGACTTGAGCTTCAAGACCAAGGCCTGCACCACCATCCTGATCCTCTTTGTGGGCTTCTCGCTCTGCTGGCTGCCGCACTCGGTCTACAGCCTCCTGTCCGTGTTCAGCCGGGGGTTCTACTGCAGCTCCTCCTTCTACACCACCAGCGCCTGTGTCCTGTGGCTCAGCTACCTCAAGTCTGTCTTCAACCCCATCGTCTACTGCTGGAGAATCAAAAAATTCCGCGAAGCCTGCATAGAGTTGCTGCCCCAGACCGTCCAAATCCTCCCCAAAGTGCCTGAGCGGATCAGAAGGAGAATCCAGCCAAGCACCGTCTATGTGTGCAATGAAAACCAGTCCGCGGTTTAAGGGACGGGAGGGAGGAGCGCGCGGACGGTTCCAGGACCGAGCTCAGAGTCCTGGCACTTTGGCCCTAGCCAGCATTTCCGGTGGCCCTGTAAGCACAAAGGTACGCCTCTGTTACCAGATAAGCTGCTGCTTCAAGTTGGCAAGATGAATTATTTTTTTTTTTTTTCTTGCTACAGGAGAGCAGT